ACTTCCACCACATCGTTAGCGTCGCTCTCGTGCCTAGGTGAGGATTTGCTTGGTTCAGCTTGGCGGCGGGATGGTCCAGGCGCGGGGGTATCGTTACTGTCGTCGTCGTTATCGTCCGTGCGAGGGCGAGGCGGAACAGCGGGATGATCATCGGTGTCGTCGCAGTCAAGTGCTGCTGCTGCTGCCTCATCTTCTGGAGATGCAAAGCTGCGGCCGCTGTTGACGTAGCCGCGAGCTTCATTGCGCCGTTCATCCTCGATCCCACTGCTTCAAGGTAAGCAGCTCGTAGAAGAGAACATCGCGCGCGGGAACAATCTCCTTGCTGTCGATGTCGAGGATGAGCCAGCCCTTGTGCTCGTTGCTGAGTCCTAGATGGATTCCCCATCGTGCGCGTTGAGCGAACTTGCCGATTGTGGCTGATGTCGGCCGATACTGCACCATGCATCCCGAAACCCTCAGCATGGAGGGGTCTCCCCTTGAGCCGGTCCACTTCATGTGCGGGGAAAGGTTGTCCCTGTTGGCCGTGGTGGAGAGGAGGTTGTGCAGGCGCACTGCGTGATTCATGGAGTAGGGCCAGAACTTTTTGGGTAGGCCGGACTGGTGCACGAGAGCGCGCACTTTCGTCATGAGGGTGCGGTTAACCCTTTCTGCAATGCCTTGCTGCTGGTGAGCGTAGGGGAGGGAAATCTCATGCTTTATCCCTTTCTCACTGAGAACACTCTCCAGTTCACAACTGCGAAACTCCTTGGCGCCATCACTCTCCCGGATTTTCAGCTTCCTTCCCAATTGCCGCTGTGCGTGTGCGAGCCAGATGCGGAAGACTTCTGGGGCCTTGGAGCGAGCATCGACATTGGCAATCCAGACGTGGCGTGAGTAGGCGTCGATGAAGTATGCAGCCATCGCCCAAAGCGAACCGTCCGGGAAAGACACTTGGTTCTTGGACAGTTGCTGCGGGTAACATATGTGCTCCTCGCGTCGCTTCGTTCAACAAGAATACCAACTTCAACGCGAAGTCGTCATCACCGTCGCCAACAACCAGAACCTATGCACACGACGACAATGCTTAGTTCAAATTCAGTCACGGGAGACAAATATTATACTGCAGATGTCCGAGGTCTTAATAGCAGAAGGACTTGGCTACAACCTACTCAGCAGCGCCAGTCAACTGATGGCAAAAGGTATACACCTCGAAGCAGACAGCATCACGCAAGAATTCAAGTTCTACCACGGGAAAGGCGGCCTCTACATCGGGAAGGCAGTACTGAAGACCAGCGTATTCGTCCTCGACTTCGTTCCAGATCTTGGCACCGCCGACAGCGACGGCATCGTCACCTTCACCTCCTGGACACATCCACCAGACCTTGATCCAGACTTCAGCCCCGGCGGCTTCTAGCATTCCCTTACGATACCTGAGGCAGAACGAACAAGGGCATTAGCAACGATTCAACAATCGGCAGCAGCAGAGACAACATCGGCAGCAGCAGAGACAACATCGGCAGCAGCAGAGACAACATCGGCAGCAGCAGAGACAACATCGGTAGCAGCAGAGACAACATCGGCAGCAATAGAGACAACGGTAGCAGCAGCTGCAACATCAACACCAATCGCTGGTCATTCAACGGCACCGGTCCACGTCGACGACACACCATCGACACCAGCGCAGCAGCTGAATCCGACACCACGAGAAGTCCACCGGAGCACCAACTTCACCGCCAGCTTCTACTCCAACTCCGAAATGTTCAGGCGTTCTCCCGGACATCGCGCCAGTAAATACATCTGGCATGCAAGAATGGGACACCCAAGCAACACGACCTTAAACAACACGATAAGAGCAGGAGTGCTCGACAAAGATTCACTACTACTGCACGACGGGAGAGAACTCCAACGAGTCAGAGGAACATGCTTCACCTGTCCTGAAGCCGACTTACCGCATCAGCCGTTCGTCTCTCATCACAACCCGAGCGCACCAGTTTACGCACCACTAGAAAAGGTGTACAGTGACATCTTGTACAATCGCGCACCAGGACAAGGAGCCTACAATTACACCATCACCTTCATCGTCGCCACCACACGATACGTCTGGCACCTGAACCTCCCGAGCCGCGACATGGCTTTCGAAGCCTTTGTTGCCTGGCTCCCAGCAGCAGAACGGGAATCTGGGGTGAAGCTACACAGTTTCCAGTCAGACGGAGGAGGAGAATACACCTCACAACGCTTCAAGGACTACCTGGCAGAGACGGGAATCAAGTGGCTCATCTCCCTTCTCTACGCCCATCAACAGGAGGATGAACAGGACCCTCCATAACACCATGCGCAAACTGCTACGTGGCATGCGGCTACCCAACCACCAGTGGCCCGAAGCAAAGGACCACGCCGTTATGCTACACAACTTGCTCTCGTCATCATCGCTCCCGAACAACGCATCACCGCACCTGCTGTGGACAGGAAAACTAGGTAGCACAAAAATGTTGTATTCGGCTGCATGGTACAGTACCGACCCCCATCTGCACGAGCCGGCCGATTCTCCCAACGCGCACAGTGGGGACTACACCTGCCCAAGAATTACAACGCATGGAAAAAATTTTACGTCCACACCAAGGAAACAGTGGCAGCACGTGATGTCATTTTCTACGAACGACTCACCCTCGACTCCTACCAAGCCAACTTGAAGAACAACGGGACCTCAATTGTGGATTTCGTGGAGACCGAGCCTTCGCTTTGGCAGTAGACGAAGCTGACTGGGACGAGCAGAATGTGGATGGAGCCTCGGAAGAAGCCGGACCACTCCCATACTGCTGGATGGATGTACTGATGGATGACGACAATCCTCGCGAAAGCGTCAACGCCGAAGTCTTCTACAACCACGCCGATGAGGGTTACGTTACACCTGCACAAGTCAACAGTGACGAAGCAGAACGCGTAGGACCCAATTTCATACCTGATCCAGAAGCGGGAGACGAAGCAGTCTATCCCGAGGATACCACACTCCCCCGCTACACACAGAGTGGACTCCAGATACTCGGCCTCGTCACCGCGGTTCACGGCACGGCAATTCCTAAGGAGCCTACCATAGTTCAGCAGGCTCTGGGGGGGGAGCATAGGGAAAAATGGCGCGAAGCCATGGACAGGGAGCTGAAAGCACTGGAGGAACGCAACACCTGGAAAGTCGTTCCCATCGGAGTGGCACGGAACAAGACAATTCTCACCGGAAAGTGGGTCTTCCGTGTGAAAACAAAGGCAGACGGCACCATCGACAAGTTTAATGCACGCTGGGTCGTACGCAGCTTCGACCAAGAGCATGGGCGCGACTTCACCGAAACGTTCGCGCCGGTCAGCCGACACACCTCGCTGCGAATTCTCCTCGCGATCACCACCATGAAGAAGAAGCTGCGGCATATCGACGTCGCAAAATCTTCGTCGAACTACCACACGGCTCCAACGGAGAGCCCAACCATGTCTGTCAGCTACTGAAGTCCCTGTACGGCATCAAACAGGCCCCGAAATTGTGGCAGCAATACATGCACGCCAGACTCATCCACATCGGATTCCGCAAACTGCCGCACGACCAGGGGATGTACCGACTCACAAAGGACAACGACTACAGTATGCTTATCGTGTACGTGGACGACCTACTCTACATTGGCTCCACCGACAGCGTCACCACCTGGTTCGAAGGGGAGCTGCAACAGGATCTCACGCTCACGGTCTCGTCCACCGTCATCAATACCTCGGCCTCAACATTCAGGAAGAAGAAAACGCAATCTACTTAAGCGCTGCGAAATACGCCAAACGCTTCGGACTCACCCCGACCACCATCTCCACGCCATACCGCTACACCGCATGAAATTACAAAGAAGGCTCTGCTCCACTCAAACCCGCCGGCATACGCGACTACCAGAGAAAGCTGGGATGCCTCCTCTTCGCGGCTGGCCGTCACCTGCCGTCCGGATCTATCATACTCTGCGAGTCAACTCGCCACCTACCTCAACATACCTAAAGTGGAACACATGGCAGAGCTCAACCGCGCTCTTCACTACCTCGTCAGCACCCCGACGATCGGCCTGACCTACCACAAGAACGCAACTACAACGCCTAAGCTAATCGGCTACGTCGATGCCGATCACGCCGGCGACTCCGACAACAGGCGCTCACGCACCGGCTACATCTATCGCTTCGAGCCTATCAGACCCATCTCGTGGCAGTCGAGCAAGCAGGAGTTAATCGCCCTCTCCTCAGCTGAAGCAGAATATATCGCACTCTGCTCAGCCACCAAGGAAGGATTGTACCTTCGCGAACTCCTGGAAGAAGCGAAGCAGGCCTAGTTACCCAGCTTCTCCCTGTTCTGCGACAACCAATCAGCAATTCGCATCGCGAACAAAAACGGATTCGCGAACAGGACGAAACACATCGCCCTGCGATATTTCTTCGTGAAGGACGAGATCGAGAAGGGAAGACTCGAGCTGTCATACTGCCCTTGTACGCTTATATAAATCTTGTATCTCTTTGGCTGATTTTATCTACTTTGCCCTCACACACTAGCGCAAGGTGGTTCAACAATCTTCATTAAACGATTCCGCTATTACATCATTTGTACCCGGAGCTTAGTCCTACAAAGATCCTAAAGGCTTTTCTCAGCCCAACATTTACAAGCTGTGTGCAATTACTGTTGAACCACATGATTCAGTCGCTCAGTGGCGCTTATAATGCAGGACCAGATAAGCGCCGCATCCAAATTAGAACAGCGTGCGCTTATCTTAGGTTTGAACGTGCTTATATTTGAAGGGGACGGTGATGTCTGTTCTTGTTACGTACAGGTTTTAGGGTATGTATATAAGTGCATGCATTAAATCCAAATCGTAGCTTTAAATTGCTTTTAGGGCACACATTCTTGCCTAGGAAGAATAATGACATAACATAAATGAAATAGAACTATCTGTTATGAGTTCAAAAACTGTTCGGAGTCGAAACGTAGCGGGCTGCGTCCTTTCAGACTCTTAACGATGAAATGTTTCGCAATCGTGACTGGTGAACGCAGATCTTCTGCATTTGTCAGGAGATTCTTGATTGGTGGTCACCGCCATGTCAGCACGCACAGCCAATTTAGCGCATCGTTGCCATACCCCCCACAAACATTCGCCACGGCCCACGACCTTCCTGGTCTTGCTGTGTCCGTGTGCAAGATTTCGAACCTGTGCATCCTTTTTCCACACCATTCGCCTACGCTTTCCCGCTGCAGCCATGGCCTCCGCTGTCGCCACCGTCGCCGCTGCCTCCTCAACCGCCATCAGCTGCCAGGCCTCCGCCTCTAGCAGGAATGTGTCCGTGAGGAGCGGATTTATGGGAGCCACTCTCCGTATCTCTCCAGCTGCCAGAGGTACATAGCCGTTGCACAGGCACGACCATGCTGTCATTGCGCACCAGTCTAACATCCCGATTTTGCTCACCTCGCAGCCGTCCGCGCCGAGAAGTTTGCTGTCCGCGCGTCGTCGTCTGAGGAGCTCGGTGGAACCCAGAAGCAGATTCTCGAGGCGTTCTCGGGGGTCAAGGCCAAGGTACACGAGACTTCGTGCATCAAGATTGTCGCTTGCATTCGTCGAGATTGCAAGCGTTCGTCGAAATTTTGATTGAAACGACCTTGCATAATGTTGTAACTCGTCCGTGCAGTGGGATACCGTGGAGAACAAGCCCACCGTGCTGCTCTACACGGGCGGCGCCGTGCTCGCCTTGTGGATCACCAGCGCAGTCATGGGAGCCATCGACTCGCTGCCTCTGGTAGGCGCTCGCTTGTGTGCCTTTCTTTTCACGCGCATTCCCAGATCTGTTAGCTGAGTTAAAATTTGATGTTTTTTTTGCCAGGTCCCGGATTTTCTGAAGCTGGTCGGCACTATCTATGGTGGCTGGTTCGTCTACCGCTACCTCCTCTTCGAGGTGAGCTTCCCAACAGTGAAATTTGAACGTTCCATCATTCTGCAATAGCTAGCTGTTTGTGTTATCTGTATGTTGTTAGCGTCTCCGCTCAATTTGTCTCTGTTGTGGTATGGCAGGCAAGCCGGAAGGAGCTGGCGACTCTCATCAACGACCTCAAGAACCAAATTGCTGATTCGAAATAGACAATACATACATATACGTTGAAGATGTATAATACCTCTTCCATTTTTTGAAGGATAACGCAGTTGTTCTCACTAACCAAATAAGGTTCGGCTCCCTGATACTATGGAGTGTACAGCACAAGCCCTGCTAATGCACTGGTGGTTTTATTCAAATTTACCTCACTCCAGTGAATCATTCGTCAGAGCAATAGAACCTCCTCCAGAGAACTACTGCTCCAGCGTAGGTTCAACGGTTTAGAATTTGAACTAGACAGGGATGGATGGATGGAATGGAAGTACGGTATGCTTGTGCTTGAGAGAATGTTTGCTGGGTCTTCCCCTCCCTGTGTCAGGATATGTGAGACCTGGTCAGAATGTGGCGGGGTGGGTGTGGCAACATCAATTATAAGCCCACCACCTAAAAAAACCTGTTTTATTATTATTCCCCATGGGGGTAAATCCGGGGTATGACGGTACGAGTAGCGTAAAGCTGTCATGCGCGTGCACTACACAGAGATCTTCAGCGCTAATGATTGTGCTGTCTGTGCGAAAGGGACATGGGTACGCAAGGGAAAAAATATAGACACCAAGCTACAACCAAGGGAAATAACTAAGATCATCAGCAGCAATATTGAAAACAAAGCAGTTTCATGATGCCAATTGGTGACATGCCTTTACCTTCTGCTCTACGGGTAACAACAAACGGAACGTGTTTCGTGCTGCCACTCTTGGGAGGCGCAGTGGAAGATGGTGGCGACGAGACAAAGACGGGACACAGCACAGTTCTGGAAAAACCATCTCATGCCAGGAGGGACACGATTGCGCGAGTCGTGAGCTTGGCTTTCGCCTGTCACACAGGGAGGGTTGAGGCAGGCAGGCAGACAGTGTATGGAAGGGCAGGGAAGGCAAGGAAGATGAAGGGCCAGACGAGGTGGTGCACAGGCTGGAAAGGCACACACTTCAAAAGAAGTGATTCACTATTCACAGGCCCCTGCTCACTGTTGCTCCGATGACGATTTTGGCCTTGCCCATTGCGAATTAAAGCCTGTTGGGATCCAAGGGAAAACGGCTGTACAGGGAGGGTAGTTCGGAATTGTGGGAGACAGAGGGTGCGTTCTCGGCTTTGTGGATGGCACACCCTCTGCCCCCATTCACCTTCACACGGGGCTTGTTGAGGGGGTTGTGAGCGGTGAGAATCTTGAGAGTCCTTGCTCAGAGGACCTTCGCTCAGAGCCATGCCAGGAGATCATGGGGTCATGGGCTGAAGGGGTCATGGGCTGAAGGGGTCATGGGGCAATGAGATTATGGGGTGATGGGGTGATGCGATCATGGGGTGATGCGATCATGGGGTGATGCGATCATAGGGTGATGCGATGCGATCATCGGGTGATGCGAGTAAGTAGTGCCAACGGCAGCAATGGGTGCGTAACTTTGAATGAACGAAAGAGTCCCCGATGCACTCCAAGCAGCACGGATCCCCTCCGGTGGAAGTGTGCTGCGCGAGTGGACGACAGGCAAGTTGTGGATGAGGCACCACCCCATTCGCTGCCCCGTGACTACCAGGGTGAACAAGGGTGCCACTGAGCCCACCGGGTAGGCGGCAGGAGAGGTAGCAGTTAAAAGCGCCTGTACGCAGGCCGCCCCACAGAGTTCTTCCCGCTGCAACATCAAGCGGACTACAGACTTGATTTAACCAGGCTGAGCGTTCACCGTCCCCACTGCAACTGGCTAGCGTTTCCAGGCCAAGCCACTCAGCAGTTTCGGTCAGCAGAGGTGCAGCAATCACTCGCGACAACCATGGGCAGTTGCAGTGGCGTGGCAGCGCAGTGAGGCAATGCGCTCCACGCCAATGCCAACAGGCTGGCGGACGTTAGCCCTGTCGTTCATCCCCACACAGCTGCACACCCGTGGCCCCACTGCCCGTGCGAACCTGCTCTCGGTGCAGTCACACGCCATGAGGCAGCTCCCCGGGCTGGTAACCTGCTGCCGGCCTTGCCACACCCCACACACCCCTCACGTCCATCGCGCCCACCCACCTCCTGCTGCACCCAGCCTGGCTGCTGCACGTCCTGTCCCTACCTGACCCACCCACACTACCCCTCTTGCCCCTGCCTTGCCCGAAAATGGTGGCAGACGCGCCCAAGCGGGAACTCACACGTGACGGCATGCGAGGGCGGGTGGGCACTGGCAGCTGCTGCCCTCCAGCCACTTGCGCTGCCCGCTGAGTGACCCGGCCAAGAGGTGCCGGCCTGGCCTTCCTGTGCTGGCCGCTGCTGGCCGCCCCACAGGGCGGTCCCATGTCCGTGATCAACGCGTACAGGGACTAGCATTGCCCACGAGGTGACCTGGGCAAGAGGGGACAGCAGGCCCGTGAGGAAGTGCGGTGTGGTGTAGCGTGAGCAGCTCCACGCCAGGCCCCATTCCGCAGTGCAGCCTCGCAACGAGGTGCCAAGCCAGCACTCACACATGATGGCGGGGCTGCTCTTTGCTCGGCTGTGCAGGCCGCCCTACAGCCCCACGTCCGTGATCTGCGCGTACTGCGACTTGCGCTGCCCTCCAGATCCCTCTGCCTCCTCCTCCACGCCTGGCTCCTCCTGGCACAGTGGCGTGAAGAGGGGTGCCATGAGGAGAAGGTGATGGAGTGGGGTGTTGGAGACGGAAGAGAGAGGGGCGGGTTAGGGGAGAGGGGCTAGTGAGAGGCACAAGGGAGAAGGTTGTGGGGAGGGGTGGGAGAGAAGGTTAGGGGAGAAGCGTGGGAGAGACAGGTGGGAGAGAACGATGGGGGAAAGTGGGTACACACAACAGGGGAGAAAAAACCCACTTGCGTGGTTGACCTCACCCTTCTGAGCCCTTGCCAACATGCTCCTCCTATCGCCCCTTAACCCTTCCATATGCCCCGTATCCCTCTACCTCCCCATCTCTCACCCCTAGGCGCGGCCAATCGCGCATGTCCTGCCCTGCGTAATCATCACCTACCCCATCACCCCTCAGTCCCCTAGTCCCCTCTTCCCCACCCACCCCCACTCACCCGCAGGCGTGGCCAGTCGCGCATGTCCTGCGCCAGCTTGCGCAGAGCCATGCGGTCCGCTGGTACGCGGTCCTCACACACCTGGCGCACACCATGGGCATGCATGGGGGGCACGGGGGAGAACGGGGGAGGGTGGGAGAGAGGGGGAAAGGGCACGAAGGTGTGCACGAGGGGGAAAGGGCACGAAGGGGTAAGGGTGGAGGATGACGCACGGTGTGCACACCTGCATGGCAAAAGATGGAGGGGAGCGGGGAGGAGTGGGGACCTGACGAGCAGAATACGAGCGTAGAATGTTCCCGCGCCGCGCACACTTTCCTCACCAACCAGCCCCCAACCCCTCACCTCTCTCCGCCCTCTACCCGCTAACACCTCTCCCCACTCCCACACGGCTCCCCCACAATCCTTTCCCCACTTCCCACACCCCGCCCCCACCACTTCTCTTCCCCGCCGCCCCTCCTTGACGGCTCGTAAAGCCCCACAGTCTCCCGTCCCCAACACACTCCCTCGCCTCTCCCCTCCCCTCTCCCCTCACCCCTCACGCACCTCGCGGAACGCATCGGCGATCTCGTCGCGCGAGCACCCGCTCTCATTCTCGATGCCCATCTGCCGCCGCCGCTCACTCTCGCGCGGGTCCTCGATCATCAGCACCAGCCGGATCTGCGGAGATTGGCGCGCAGTGACGTCAGCCGGAGCGCGGAAGGCGCGGGGAGATTGGCGTGCAATAGGGGGGCGAAGGGAGGGGGGGTTGAGTGGGAGAGAAATTGGGGGAAAGCGAAAAGTGGACAGGCGGGAGAGATGCGCGAACGTCAGACGATGAGGATTAAGGACAGAATTTAAGGACAAGCCGCCAGACTAGGCAACGCACCTCCTGCACCGTCATGTCGCGACGTTCCTTGAGCAACTCGATGGTCTGCCACGCACGCACGCACGCACGCACGCACGCACGCACGCACAGAGAGGAATGGATGGGCGAATCAGATGCAAGCATGGTGGGCTCGAGGCATGCGACGAACCGCACGGCTCAAAAAGGCAAGCGCGACCCCAAGGTGAGACCGGAATGGCAAGACGCACGGGCAGCACGGAATGCGCCGGTGGGAGGCGAGAGCGGCTCGGCGGAGGGCTCCTACTAAGGAGAAAGGACTGAGGCCCGTACTAGGCACGACCATGCACTCGCAACCCTAACCTCCGCCCATCTCTGAGCTCGCAACTGTCGCTAATGTCGCGAATGTCGTGAACGGCCTAGGCGAGCGCGAATCACCTCGACGATGTCCTGAATGTCCCTCAGGTCCTGCGCCTCCTCCGCCTCCTCCGCCGACAGCTGCGCCTCTCCATCCTCCCCCTCCGCCGCCGCCGCCGCTGCCCGCACGGACCGCCTAGACGCGGGACCCGGTCGTCGCAATGAAACGCTTTGCTGCGATTGGTGGCGGCATCGGACGGCTAGTTCTCGCTTGGAAGAGAAAGCGACGACACGAGTCGGCCGGGATGCGACACGCCGTTGAGCGAGTGGCGGCGACGCGTGTGGGGTGTGTCGCACGGCAATGGACGTCGTCATTGGGGAGAGGACGATCTAACGGACTAACCAAACCTCTTAGATCGATTGGAATCACGAGGTACTATGATCGAAAGAAAATAAATTGTGCATGGTTAGGTAGGAATCCCCACAAGCTTCCCTCCCCCACTTCGTTACGAGACGAACTGCCGAGCTGGGAACTCGGGTATCAGGACGTGGCTCACTTCGGTTGGTCCGCGGGTCCGCCCAATCGACATCCTGAAATGCCTGGACTGGTCCGCCGGAATAGTGTGGACAGCCTAGCGAACCACCTTCGGACAATGTTTTGTTTGGTCCGCGGATGCAATCTACAGTGGCGTCAGCGAGCGCAATTGTACAGTTTGCCCAAAACCGGGTTACCATGACCGCAACTGTATAGTTACGGCGTGTTGCAATTCGCGGTGCACTGCATCGGCTCGGCTCGTGGCACGGGTCTAGGAAGGCTCCAGGAAATCAAGGGGCCGAGAAATTTTACAGAAAACGTGTAAAAACTTTATAATCGGTCTTGTAAGAACTTTAAAACCTTTGCAAATAACTCTCGTAATCACTTTCTGATATTTTTTCTTTGCCGAATCGTTGCCCGAATTCGGCCTCCGCCTGCTTGGAGCCTTCCTTTTGTCCCGTGCCGACGCAGTGCATCGCAAACTGCAACACCCCATTATGGTGACTGGCATTGAAAGGGCGGCGCGCGCAGCCAAGTTTTGCGACGGTACACCTGTCCCGCGCTAATTTCAACCCCCCCCAAACAATTTTAGAGCCTCCCTAAACCAGATTCGGCTGTATTATTCTGACACCCAGAAACAAGAGGATAGAACATCCTATCCTCATCGCCACTTTAAAATGAATATTCAATCAGCGGATGAGACACACCACCCAATCGCACTGGCCATTATTCCAGTAGCGACCTCTGTAGCGTGGTCGTACTCGAAAGGGGTCCGAAAATTTACCTACATTAATATCGAACTTTCTCTGTTCAACCCTTGGAACCAGAAATAGCAAGGGTAGCTACTCACCAGCGCCTGTTTTGGGGGGTTGAAATTAGCGCGGGACAGGTATAGAAAGAAGAGTTGTGTAAGTGCTCGTCAAGAGTACAGTCAAAGCGCGTTACAGTCACACTTGGTAGCTGGGCGAAATGTTCTTGAAACGAACAGGCTATTTTGCCTGGTGTTCGCGCACGTCGCCACAGGCATAAGGTGATTGTAGGGTTGCAAAGTTGTAACATGTTTAAATTTTCCCAGTTACTGTGGACCAGCGTCCGTTGTTGTTTGTGCATGTTCCTAGTTACTATGCCAGCCATCAGTAGCTTCACGATGCATTTCAGGTCCCTGTGTGGGGTGACGACCACCCAGGGAAGGCTTCGCTGCAAATCGGTAAGAAGCTCGCAGCATTTGCTGTAGTGCTTGTCTTGTGTGTCTAGGTCGAAGCACCCTGTAAATCTGCCAGACAAAAACCACATGCCACCAAAATTTTGAGTGACTGTACCCCTTGTGACATCACCCGGTAAAACATGCAATTGTGACGAGCAATTTTTTTGTAATAAGTTGAGCATCGATTGTATAACTATTCGGGGTCATGTGAGAGTACGACAGCTTATGCTGGCTTTGCTAGCTTGCCTTTACTTTATTATGCATTATCTAGCTTAGCTTTGCTTGACTTTGCTTGCTTTTGCTAGATTTCCTAGGTTCGTTGTTTTTACTATATTATAGTTATAGTTATAGGCACCGAACTAGGTTGAGTGCACCGAATTCTAGGCTTTTCGGTTGCCACCGAATTGCCTTCTACCGAATTTCCCCACCTGTAAATTCAGGCCGTTGATCCGTATCAAGACATCGCGTGGACGGCTAGGAACAGCCAAGGAGTCCCTGGTTGTTACCACCCTCTTCCAGTCAATGTGCTCCCCCCATCGTAAACCCCACTTTTGCTGCTTGTACGACTGGGTGTAAGTCCCCTTCCAGCCCTCCTTCATCCGCCTCATAGAAATTACCCGCTCCCCCTCTAGAATTGGTATCCGCGGGGGAGAGCCAACCGAGCGCGGGGGTACTGTTAGGAAACCAAGCAGTCTTTGCCAGTGGGATGGGATAGCAAGCAGTGCCCTCCTCGCCAGCTTCGCAGGCCCGTTCCCACCAAGCTCTTGCTTCAGCACATTCATGGATTTTACTCCCGCCACGCCGTCTTCCTCCCCTTCCAGCAAATCTCATATACGTAGCTCTTTCAGCCCCTGAGCGTCTTTCTGTCCCCCAAGTGGGTTTGTGGTGCCGTTGAGGAGAACCGCTACATTGAAAGCCAATCTCTCCGTTAAAACTTCTTCCCTGCTCCCCACCAGGTTCTTGACGGAGAAAAGGGAACGTATGAAGCTTTCCACTGTCTGCCTCCACCTTGTGCTGCCGCTTCCCCAGTGATTTAGCAGCTCCGTGTATGCAGTGAAAGAGTCCGCCCCCATTGGGAGCTTCGCCGCCCGTTTCAAGAGATCCCTTTTCAGTAGGTTTCTCTCCGTGATGAAGTGTCCCACTCTCCTCGCCGCCAGACAGGTAATGAGGAATTCTGGATCCCTCTGGTTGGTCCAACTGACCAGTTGGTCCAATCGGCCAGTTGGTCCAACCAGCCAGTTGGTCCAACCGGCTGGTTGGTCAGTTGGTCCAATCGGCCCATTGGTCCAACCGTCCAGTTGGTCCAACTGGCAGGTTGGTCCAACAGACCAGTTGATCCAACCGGCCGGTTGGTCCCAACAGACAAGTTGGTCCAATCGGCTAGTTGGTCCAACCGGCCAGTTTGTCCAACCGGCCTGATGGTCCAACCGGCTGGTTGGTCCAACTGGATTGTTGGTCCAACAGACCAATTGGTCCAACCGGCCAGGTGGTCCAACCGCCTAGTTGGTCCAACCGGCTTGTTGGTCCAACAGACCAGTTGGTCCAACCGGCTGGTTGGTCCAAGTGACTAGTTGGTCCAACAAACCAGTTGGTCCAACTGACCAGTTGGTCCAACCGGCCGGTCGGTCCAACCGGCCAGTTGGTCCAACCGGCTTGTTGGTCCAACAGACCAGTTGGTCCAACCGGCTGGTTGGTCCATAGTTGATCCAACCGGCGGGTTGGTCCAACAGACCAGTTGGTCCAACCGGCCAGTTGGTCCAACCGGCTAGTTGGTCCAATCGGATTGTTGGACCAACAGACCAGTTGGTCCAACCGGCCAGTTGGTCCAACCGGCGAGTTGGTCCAACCGGCCTGTTGGTCCAACCGGCAAGTTGGTGCAACCGGCAAGTTGGTCCAACTGGCCAGTTGGTCCAACCGGTTGGTTGGTCCAACCGGCCAGTTGGTCAAACCTTGCTGCCCGCCGCTGCCATCCTCGCATAGGTGTCCTTGATCTTGTCAAGGACCGGCTTCACGTCGTCTCCCGGCTTCATGGAGAGGGCAGCCAGCTCCTTCTCCAACACAATCACCATCGGCAGCGTGTTGGGTTGTACCACGTCGCGTAGCAGCTTCCACGCCTTCGGTCCGGAGTCGTCCAGCTCCACTAAGTCCTTGATGTGCTGGAACATGTCGTTGTTGACCGATTGAAGGATAAGGTCGTATAGCACCGCGCTCCGCTCAATCCACCGGTCGCGGGCATCTCCTTCCTCCGGCATCTTCTCTTCTCCCATCGCAAGTTTCAGCAGCTTGTAGCGCTTGAAAGCGCTCCGCATCCGCCCGCTCCATTCCTCATAGTTGGAGCCGTCCAAAGCATCGATCTTGGACGGTGGCGGTTCACTCTTCTTATCAGCTGCTTCTCCACTCATCTCCTCTGCTCCCAATCAGAGGTTTCAGCTCCCCCCTTTGCTGGTCACAATGTAGATCCACAAGATCTTCACAAGTGTCGGCGCCAACGAAATTTCGGCAGAGTTTCCCCTTAGCGGAAGTCACTCCCAACCTCTAGAACTCCACTTAGGCATGCCCACAGGCCATGGTGGGTCTAGGAGGGTCTTCACACTTCAGTAGACTCCCCACAAAGTCCTTAATCTGCTCTGATACCACTTGTTAGAGACTAAGGACGGGGTCTAAAAGCTTAGGGGCCGAAATATCACAAAATCGTTGGCTTAGAATTCTGGACAGAAACCGCGATTTCACAAGAAACGCCGTCGACGAAAAACTAACCGTTAGAATTCCGTCAAACTCGAGTATGTTGTAGCGCTAGACCGTGGCTACAATTCCCAATTTGAATCACCTCAAACGATGGAGTATATCTCGAGTTATGCTTTTCGGCGCACTAGGGGGTATGCTGCCACAGAAACTTAACTCACTCACAATAGTTCTCACAAGTTCACAAAAAATCACACAAAGAGCATTAGAGTAGCACTAAACCAGGTGGGAGGGAAGAGGAGGACGAGAGGGAAGGTCCCAAGGGAGTCCCCAACCAAAGGAAACCCCATGCCACACAATTCCCCTCTCCATAGGCAACCCCACTTTCACATTTGTCACTTTCCCAACTCATGCCATCCACCTCAACCCACTTGGCCACACTTGCCAACCTGGTTTGGCTTCACCCAACCACATGGCAGCATTCTACAGTGATGGGTTCGAATTTCCCAACCCCAAAAGTCTGTACCCCATATAAAGTCAACCCCACAACTTCCCACAGTCGCCGCAACCAAAGTACAGAAAGCATACGAACTCCAACGTTCGTAACTTTCTTGATATTGCTCCGATCGCGACGATTCTTGGTTCGTCGGGAAGCTCTTGAGCAGAGAAATCACTTCAAATATCTGCTCATGTCAA